TGAGTGGCTGTCCATAACTAAAGTACAGACCAGACCCCAGTGGCTGTCCACCGTACATTTCAATCAAGTACAACTTTACAAAGCTCATTTAATACTGTTTTTGAAGGACAGTGTTTTCAGTTTATTCTCTCTCTCTTCCAGGATCAAAGAAGTCCCTTTTGGAGCTTTAATAGTGGGTTTGCTGCTCCACTGAGAAGAGAACATAAGGATCAGGCTAAAGAAGAAATGGGAGTAAAGGAGTTTTGCCTTTGAATGTGGATTTACTGGCTATTTCCACTGTAGGCATGAAAGAGAAGCTTTGCAGGGACTGTAGTCACAGATGGTCTCACAGTTACAGTTAAGTTATCTATACCATGGAGGAAATAGACCTCCATTTTCTTTTTTAGCAGAATTAATCAGAGAACTATGTGGTTATTTGATTGGTAACCTATGGGGAAAATTGTTCATCAGCAGCAATGAAAAAATAGAGGTGACTGCATCTCACTTTTACTAAAATTCATCTCTTTATTTAAATCATGACTTCACAGTTTTAGGACCCAATGATAGGGTTTGCAGGTGAGCAAAATACAACAGGTTCTGCTATCCTTGCAAGTGGCAAGGCTGTGGAAGAGATATCAGTAATCATGAAAGGTTTTGTTCATTTTTTTAATATAAAATTATTTAAGAGTTTATACATGTAACTTGCTTGGTAGTTTATGCTAAGTTCAAGCATCACTAAGGACATCACATTTCCTTTAACTGAGTCACAAGTCCTACAATCTATTTGTTTTCAAAGGAACTTCATTCTCCCCGTTGATGCAAAAACACATGATCAGTTTAAAAACTAGGTAATTACTTATTAAGTACCAATCACTTGTTTTCTGAAATTTTGATTCAAAAGAATTTTATGCCCCCAATTACACAGGCGCGTGATAGTGTGTGGTCTGTTAATGTAATAGTTTAATGTTTTCAGTTAATTTGGTATAAAATTGCCAGAAAAAGGACAGGAGGCAGATTGTACCTCTGCACCTCTGCATCATCACCGCTATCACCAGTACACACCACTGTGTTTCCACATGCATGTATGATTGCCTACGTATGCACACGGCTATACCTCTATAGCACGTCACAGTAAGCAATGGTATAGGTATAAAAAATCTACTAGTCTGAATTTAAGGTTATTGCCTACTCATGATTATTTATTAGTTATTACAACACCATATGTTTGCATAACAATTTACAAAACAGATACAGACAGTCCTTGCCCTGAGGAACTTTAAATGTAACAGCGGTATGCAGTGTGGGAGAATAAAGTCCAGTATAATGTAATTTCAACATGATTACATGGTAACTTGGGAGACTGTTGCATGTTTCTTGAGAGTTAACACAGTAATCTTCAGAAACTCATAAGATATACACATCTCTTGTGCCATACTTTCACATCATGTGGTTACTTGTGCTGTACATTTTGGAGAAAAGCTATTTTATGGAAACATTAAGAGTGTAAAAACTGTATTAAGAATTATTTTTTTTCTGATCTTTTTTGCCTGTGAAGTAGGCTTGCTTTATTTATCATGCATGTACAGGCAATGCAGTGAAAGAAAAACTAGGTCTGATGCATTTTTAAAAACCTCTAAAATAACTTTTCTCTGTATAAAGTTGCTGCTGTTTTAGGGTCCAATATGGTGCAATCTGCCAAGACAGACATACATTCTTTCCTCCAGAAGGCTGGGAATCATTCCAGAGGGTTCTTTTTTTATTTCTTATCCTGCCTTTTAAGTTATGTACAAGTTGTGCTGGTCAGTTTTCATACTTTACTGGCATATTCCCAACTTTTCACTTGTCTGTGTCTTTTACCAATCCCATGTTAACTTCGATTTATAATTGAGAAAAACAGATATATTTTTTAAGGGAAGAAAATATCTTAGAGGACTAGAAAGTGTTCCTGAAGAGCTGAGTTATTGGTTTGAAAGTGTAAAGTAGACTGTGGAATACACATGCAGCTTATTTCATTATTTTGCTGTTTATTCAGTTGTGGAAAGAAACAGAATTTTCTCCTGATTATATTTGCAACATATTAGGAAGTCAGAAGGCAAATTATGAACTACACATAGCTTTATAAAGCAGACTGGAATGAATGTATTATTGATAACTGAGCAATATAAACAGTACAGCATGTTCTGAAAGAGGTAGATAGTAGATGATATATTCTAGGAACACCTTGGAATAAATATTGAAGTGGGTCAAAATGTACAGGGTTTTTTTGCAAACAGATTTGGAGTCTGCAAAGCAAAAGATAATACACCATCAGAGGAAAGAAGAGAGATAGTTTCAACAAAAATTCTAGTGGACGTTTACCCATATAAATTAACCTCTGTATAACTTGGCACTCTCGTCAGTCTCCTCAAAAGCATCCCAGGACTAAAATAGCCAAGTCAGGATAAGGTGCAGTGGCGGAGTTACGTGAAGAAACATACACAGAACCTGTCGGCACTATGCTCACTTCCAGCCAGAGCTATTATAAGCTGCTCTTTAATAAGCACTAAAATTCAGTCACACATTTTTTAAAGGAGAGTGCATGTTCCTAAAACATGATTGTTTCATGTTATAAAATT